GCGGTTCATGAGAGATGGTGCTCTGGGGTCTGGTGGGCCCTGGAGAGGGGCCTCGTGTGCCTAGGGCTGCAGGGTGCTGGTGGGTGGCTGGGTGAGGGCCTCCGGGGAACCTCTGCGACTCAGTGGACCCGAGTGGCTGCTCAGTGGGTGTCCTGAAGTCCCTGAGGGGTGATCGCATGCACCTGGTGGTCCTGTGATTGAAGCTGCCCCCACCCTGCCTCAGTGGGACCGTGACCCTCCTGTGCAGCCAGGGAGGGGACAGGAGGAACTGCTGTGCAGGCTGCAGCCGGTCTGCAGCTGGTGGCATCTGTGGGTCTGGAGCCCGCATGGCCCCTAGTTGTAACTTCCACAGGAAACGCACATTGAGCGAGAGCAGAGAGGTGATCAGCACGGGAGATGCGGTGCTGTCGCCATGTGTGCCTTCGGGGGAGGTGGCAGGGCTGGGGAAAGGCCCCGTAGGTTCCAACAGGTCTGTGCCCCTGGGGACCCCCTCGTTCCACCCTGAGGGAATAGGGGCTTGGCCTGTAACCAGTCGGGACACAGCATCCGGCTGGCCCGTCTCCCCGAAAGGGCTGATCGGCGAAACGATCAATACATGCCACCCAGGCCATTCTCCTCGTTCCCAGGGCTCCGTGCTCTGAGGGACAACAGGGTGCGTGTTCGGCCGGCCTCTGCTCACCAGGGCCTGGGGGCCCCACAGCACCCTTACTTCACTGCCCAGGTGGAAGACAAGCCACAGCTGCTGACCAGGTCCCAAGGCCCTGGCGACATCAGCAGGTGCTTGCTTTGGGTGGGATAGGAGGAATCTGTGCCCTGAGGACGTAGCCGACCATGTGACATTCTTTTCGCCTGACAGCTTAGTGCTGCCCTGGGGACGCCTGCCCTCAGGACATCTGCTTTTGCCAGGCCGCTCGCCTCTCCCCAAGAGCTCCCAGCCCCTGCCAGAGCACCGGAGGCCCGGCGATGCCCACACGGGGCCCGGCGATGCCCACACGCACTGCCGCTCTTGGGCTCCCGTGCTGTCTGCTCAGGGTCTCCTATGACACCAGGGTCCCTTCCTTCCTGCCCCAGAGGGTCCTGGGGGCAGATGCCGGGGCTGTTGGCTGCTTTCCCTCTCTGTCCCTGGCAAGGGGCTAGGGGCAGGGGACAGGCGCCCCGCTTTCTGCCCAGGACTCGAGCTCACTTTAAGCTCGCCCTTCTGTCCACTCTGGTGGACGGTTTAAATGGCGCCTGTGCTCCGCGCTGCTCTAGGCTTCTGGGTTAGTTCCTGCCGCTGCCGCTGCCGCTGCATGGAGCCAGGGAGGACAGGGTCAGCTCCGCTCAGGCCGGAGCAGCTCCCCATCTGTGCACCAGGGCCAGGACCGCCCCGGCCCGTGTGTGGCTCTCAGCATCCCGCCCTGCCCCAAAACCTGCGGGCAGAGGGGGCCCCTCCAGGGTGGGGCAAGGGCTCCAGCATCACATGACACCCAGGCAGGGCCAGCCAGCTGCTCGGCTGCCCGCGAGGCGGCCCATAGCTCACTGCAGAGCTGCTATTCAGACCTAAGGGCCCCAGCCCCGGCCGTGGGTGGCCTGGCCAGGGAGTGCTTCTGTCCCTCAGGCCTGCATGGAGCTCCCCCTGGGAGCCAGGCGCTCTGTGGGCTCCCGGGGGGTTCAAGGCCCACTTTCTGGCAGGCGGGTCCTGCACGGGACCTCCAGACTGCTGCCAGCCCCTCGGGCGCTCAAGACGCTCGCTGTTGGCTCCCAGCTGGGCCAGATGTGGCTGGAATCCCCAGGAGACGGACAGGGCCTTCCAGATGGCTGGCTTTGCAGGAGGCAGTCTCAGCCCCCTCCGGAGATGGAGGGTGGCCAGGCCCTGGGTGGGGTGTGGCAGAGCTGGCGGGCCCTTGGAGCCCGTCTTCACCCCCACCCCTGCTCCGAGGGGCTCTTGCAGACAGGGAGGGATGTGTGAGGTGGGGGCGGGGAGAGTCAGCATCTGTTTCCGTTTTTCTGCTTCAGGAGGAGGAAGGGCTGGACCTCCCCATGCGTGGGCCGTTTGGGGTGCGTGGGCGTGGGGGGACTTCCAAGAAATGGCTGTCTCTCTCCCTGGGGGAGGGGCAGAGGGTCAGGAGCCCCGCGTGACTGTTGGAGCTCCCGGGTTGGTACTATGCCAGGAGAGGGAGGGCGGCCTCGGGTCAGAGGAAGTGGACTTCCTGAGAGCCGCTGGCGGGCCTCCGAGAGCCCTCCAGGTGGGCAGGTCAGAGTTCCAGGCCCTTCAGCCCCTGGCCCCACGGGTACTGACCTCCCGGGGTACAGTACAGGAGGCCAGACACCTGGCTTCTACCCAAGGGCCCCGCTTAGGCCAAGCGCCTTAGCGAAGGGCTGTCAGAGGCCCAGGTTGAGTCAGCACTTCCACTGGGCCCCCTCCGCGCTCCACGCCACCCTGGGTTGGGGCAGTGTGACCCGTGCATGGTCCCAGCTGCTGGCATTGACCGGGAGAGCAACGGCCGCGTGCCAGCTGGCGCCTCTCAGCTCCTCCCTAAACTCTCGGAGGTCGGCATCTTTACTCCTGGACCCCATCCGCTCTGCAGGCTCGCCCTTCCCCAGACTGGGCCAGCTAGGGGAGGGGGCTATGACGTCCGGGGCAGCCGTGACTAAGTGGGATGGCAGCCCCGGCCAGCCTGCCCAGCAGGAGGGCCTCCCAAAACAAGAACCTTTCCTTTCTGCCTGGGAGCCAGGAAGCAGCCAGATGACCCCTCTTCCTGGCCCAGCTGAAAATCCCATGACTTTGGGGTTCTGTGGAGCCCCGGCTATCAGCCCAGACGTCAGCACTGTCATCTTCTCGTCCTGTTCCCAGGCACGTGATGACAGGCAGGGAACTGGAAACTCCTCTGTTGCCAAAGAAGGCACAAGGCCATGAATGAGCAGAAAGAGAAGGAAGTGGCCTCGGATGTGGCCTTCCAGGGTGCCCTGCACCTGCCCATGACCCGGGGTGCTGGCCTGCAGGGTCAGGCTAGGAGGAGCTGCCCACACCCACAGGGTCCGCCGGGGACAGGGGCAGGCTGGGCGGAGGAAGGATGAGGGTGAGGGCCGTGGCCCCTGGTGCAGCCGGCTGCGTCCAGGGGTCAGGGGCAGGCTGGGCGGAGGAGGGGTAAGGCTGAGGGGCCGTGGCCCCTACGGCCCCTGGTGCAGTTGGCTGTGTCAGGGCCGTGGTCTCCTGGGTCTGCCGTTTACCCACAGCGGGCCGACTGTGGACGGACTGCTCCTCTCTCAGCCTCGTCTGTGAAATGACCCGATGACAGAGCTCGTCTGGGGGGAGGCGCCCGGGGCGGAAACACGTCGTCGGGGCTCGGGAGCCTGGCGAGCTCCTCGCTCGGCACCCGGCTCGCGGCTGGCGGGGTGGGAAGGGACTGCTGGGGGCGGAGTCCAGCTGCCCCGATGGTCATCTCCAGCCCTCGGGCTGTCTGTTGTCCTGTGTCATTCTGGACCGGAAGCCTGTGCGCCACGGATCTGTGCCTCGTGTGGGGAGCAGAGGTTGCGGGGGCGTCCCCCTGACACCGCTGTGCCCGGCGGCCGGGCGCTGTGCTTACAGAGCTCCACGCAGGAGATCGGCGAGGAGCTGGTCAATGGGCTCATCTACTCCATCTCCCTGCGCAAGGTGCAGCTGCCCCACGGCGGCAGCAAGGGCCAGCGCTGGCTCGGGGTGAGTGCGGGGGGCCCCAGAACCCCAAGAAGGGCCCGCGTCCCACGTGCCTCCCTGGTGACTCCACGGGGCTTCCTCCCAGGGCTTTCCTGCCTGTGGGCCCCACAGCCCTGCTCCCAAAGGGACCTGGGCCCCGCCCCTCCCCCACGGGCCAGCCTCGGGCGTGGCCAGGCGCAGAGTCCCCATTCACGTGCCTGGTGTGGACGTCAGAAACGACAGCTTTCTCCTGTGTCCACTTCTTGTTAGTTTCGGGAGCACTTTTTGCATTTGGCCACCATTTTTCCTGGTTTAACTGCCACCCCCAGCGGTCCCTTGGAGCCATCAGCCGACTGGACTTCCACACTTTCTCCGAGCCTTCTGTCACCACGCTTAGTAGGGAGGGCTGTTCTCACTCTGAAAAGCGGGGCTCAGGCTGCTCTGCGCAGTTCTCTGTAGCTGGCTCTCACGGAGCACAGCCCGCGACCCCTCCAGGCAGAGCAGGGGCCTGACTCGGATGCAGAGGCACCGGAAGGGGGCCAGTCACCACGGTGATTGGGCCCTGCATTGCCCTGGGACCCGGTGTGGGTTTTGCTCTGGCCACTTCCACCTGCTTCCCTGGGTGTCCTGTGTGTCTGAAGGGGTCTGCACCCTCCCAGCCCTGATAAGCCTGTTTCTCCGTCTCCGGGGCTCACGGGCGATGCCCTTACCTAGGACACGCCATTGTTACTCAGCTAACAAACAAGCTGAAGGGGTCAGTGTTTTCTGTCGTCTCCCCGTCCAGAGACGCTGAGAACCTTTTCCTGTTGGGGACACTTGTGTCTCATCTCTTACCAAAAGCCGCTAAGCACTTGGCGGTTCATCAGAGCTCCAGCCTCCCACGCTTCCGGTGGTCCAAGCTGCTGCCACTGACCGTACGTGCCCCCTTTGTCCTGCACAGTGTGAAAATGAGTCGGCCCTGAACCTGTATGAGACCTGCAAGGTACGGACCGTGAAGGCAGGCACGCTGGAGAGGCTGGTGGAGCACCTGGTGCCCGCCTTCCAGGGCAGCGACCTGTCCTACGTCACCGTCTTCCTGTGCACCTACCGAACCTTCACCACCACCCAGCAGGTGCTGGACCTGCTGTTCAAAAGGTGATTGTCCCACCTCTCCTCAGCACGGTGGCACCCCGCCCGCCTGCTGTCGTGTGTGTCTTGGGAGGGTCACTCACCTCTCTGAGCCTCAGTTTGCCGGTGCGAAAACTGGGGTGCTAAGAGGATGGACCTCACAGGGTCGTGAGGGCCACGGGGGAGGTGCTGGCCCCGTGCCCAGCCCTGTGACAGGGCCTGCCGAGGGCTGTGCTGCTGCTGCGTGTGACCTTCCTGGCCCCACAAAGCTGCTCTCTGCTTCGGGCCTCACTGTCCGTGCCCTTGGGTAAAACTGTCGTCCCATTCGAACGGAGGTTCCGGATTCTCCCCGGGGGGGTCCCCTCCATGAGTAGCCAGAGCAGGGCCCCTGAGGCTGGCCAAGAGCCCCAGCCCCACACATATCCGTGAGGTTCCGGCTGGGTTCGTGTTCCACAAGTGTGAGGCCCCTCCCTGGGCAGGCACTTCCCTGGGCACTTAGCGTAATTCGGTGACAAAAGCAGATGGAAATCCCCAGCCTCCCGGGCGTCCGCTCTAGGCAGGGAGTCAGCCAGTAACATCAGACATCATAGCAGGTACGGTAGATGTGACGCCCTCACGGCCTCCTCTAGATACGGATGCATCCTCCCTTACTCCCACGAGGACGGCGGACCCCAGGACCAGCTGAGAGAGTGAGTGGACCCTGGGGTCTGATGGGGGGGGCCTCCTGTCTCCACGGGGAGGGCATCTGGGGGCTGGGGCCGCGGGCTCGGGCAGGACCCCGGCTCCCACACGTCTGTGGCTCCCCCTGGAGGGCTGGGGTCTGGGGGCTTCTCCTGCGGGAAGAGAGGATTCAGAGGGCTGTGGATGGGGCCTGGGTCCCAGGGAGCGGGGAGAGGCTGGGCTGAGACTCGGACAGAGAGATCCCATCCCCACCACAGCCCCGCCCTGCTCAGCCCCGCGCCGGCACCCAGGACGAGAGGTGTGGGAGCCACCCACTCGGACATCGGCCCCACTCAGTCCTCTGAGCCCAGCCGCACGGGGGGCTGGGGCCCGCGATGCCCCGATTCCCAGGAATGGTGTCTCGGGGGAGACGAGACCCACACGTGGGCGCAGAGACCAGGGCAGCACGTGGTGCCTGAGCTGAGGTCGAGCTGCCACCAGGGCCCTGAGAAGACTGGGCAGGAGGACACTGTTTCCCGCTCCCTGTCATACTTACGCAGCACCCACTCCCCGTCAGTCTGTGCCCTTGCAGAGCTTACATTCTGGGGGTCGGAGACCGAGGGCTGTGTCAGGATTCCCCGGAGAAGGCGAGGTGGTCGCCCCACTGACCGAGGGCTCCCTCCCTGGAGCCCCCCAGCCCTGCCTGCTGACCAGGCCTGGCCCTGCCCGGCCAGCCAGTGAGGGCGGGCCAGGGCACAGAGTCCAGCCCCCAGGGATAGATGAGCCAGCCCATGGCCTAGCCCCCGTGCCATGGGAGGGCCACCTGGATGCGGAGCCAGGCCTTTGACACTGCTGCCCACCTGCCCACACCCAGTGCCATCTCCTCCATCCTGGGCACCTGGCTGGACCAGTACTCGGAGGACTTCTGCCAGCCCCCGGACTTCCCCTGCCTCAAGCAGCTTGTGGCCTACGTGCAGCTCAACGTGCCTGGCTCGGACCTGGAGCGCCGTGCCCACCTTCTCCTGGCTCAGCTGGAGCACGCAGAACTCACTGAGGCAGGGCTGGAGGGTGAGGAGGATGGGGAGGGATGGGTGCTGGGCGCACAGGGAGGAGCCACAGAGCACCGTCTGGGGGGCCGCGCCTGTGGGAGACGTCCTGGGCCGAGGCTTCTGCAGAAGGCAGCGGCGTGCACTCTGTCTCGGAGAGGCGGGCGCTGCTGAATTCTCCTCTTCTCACAGCTCTGTCCCCAGCTCCAGCTCCAGCGCCGGTTCTAAAACCAGAGCGAGAGGCAGCTCTAGCACCAGCTCTAGCATCCAGCCCATTGCCAGCTCTAGAACTAGAGCCAGTGGCGGCTCCAGAGCCAGAGCCGGCTCCGGAGCCAGAATCATCGCCGGCCCCAGAGCTAGAGCCAGCGCCAGCGCCAACTCCAGAACTGGAGCCAGCTCTATCGCCAGCTCCGGAGCTAGAGCCAGCAGCAGCGCCGGAGCCCTCCTGGCCTCTGGCCGTGGCTTCGGAGAACGGGCTGAGTGAGGGGAAGCCTCACCTCTTGGTGTTCCCTCCTGACCTGGTGGCAGAGCAGTTCACCCTGATGGATGCGGTAAGCGGCCCGCAGCAGGGTCGGGAGGGGTGGCACCTTCCTCTGGCGTCTGCTGCCCAGACCTGCCGTGCCCTGGGCCAGAGCCGATGCCCTGGCCCAATTCCCAGCTCCACCATCACAAACCGTGTGACCTGGGCAAGCTTCTTAGCCCCGAGGCCTCAACTGCCCTCCAGACTGTGGAGACAGAACCCCCCCACCCCGTCATTCCTCCACTCAGGGTGACTGAGGATTAAATGAGATGGAATAATAGAAAGCTGGGAGGTGGGGTGCTGGCCATTTAGTGGGGAAGGGAGCTCCCCGAGGTGCAGCTGGCTCCATGGTTCATCCCCCATCTGCCCAGGAGGCCTCAGCACTTATTAGGCACCTGGTGTGTACCAGAGTCCGTGGCAGACACCAGACCAAGCCTCTGGTCGTAGCGCCCACAGTGGATGGGCATCTAGACAGGGACGGACAGAGGCGTGATGAGGGCTGGAGGTGCCACCTGGTACGTGCAGGTGGGAGCCACTTTCTGGTGGTCCGAGGATGGGCCGGCGAGAATGCCCACCTCTCCTGCCACCGTCTCCTCCTGAGACCCTTGCGTGCTGGGCGCCCACAGTGGGCAAGGAACAAAACCCAGAGACCCCCTACAAGGCTCAAGCCACATCCTCAGCCTCCAGAGCTCTAGCTCTGAGCAGGGACCCTGCGTGGGACTTGGGGGGCGGAGTGGGGTGTGCACGCTGAGCTGGGCTGTGGCAGACCTGGGTGACACTCGCCTGCTCCCCAGGAGCTGTTCAAGAAGGTGGTGCCTTACCATTGCCTGGGCTCCATCTGGTCCCAGCGGGACAAGAAAGGCAAGGAGCACCTGGCTCCCACCGTTCGAGCCACCGTCACCCAGTTCAACAGTGTGGCCAACTGCGTCATCACCACCTGCCTCGGGGACCGGAGTGTGACAGCCCGGGACAGGGCCAGGGTGGTGGAGCACTGGATTGAGGTGGCCAGGGTATGCCTCGCAGGGGCGCAGGGAGCCCCTTTTTTGCCTTCCCCCACTCTCGGGGCCGCGGTCTGTGGTCCAGGCTCCCGCGGAGACCCCAGGCCCGTCTGTTTCTGGGGTGCTCACTTCCTCCTCAGGTTCCTTCCTGGGTCGAGCTCAGATCCTCCTCCCCAGGTGTGTTACTCACCGGGCCCCGGGCGTGCCCTTCGGGGCTCCCCAGGCATCTCTCTGATCCAGGAGGGGAGGTCCCAGCTGAGGGGCCTGACGCTGGAGCAGGCGGGAGCCCCAGCCCCCTGACGGCCGTCTCCCCCCTCACCAGGAGTGCCGGGTCCTCAAGAACTTCTCGTCCCTCTACGCCATCCTGTCCGCTCTGCAAAGCAACTCGATCCACCGACTGAAGAGGACGTGGGAAGAGGTGTCCAGGTGGGTGGGCCTCCTTCTGGGCGCTCCAGGGGGCACCAGGGACCACGCACGGGCTGGGCACCGCCCCCTTCGTGAGCCGTGACCGGCCAGGGCGGGTCTCTAAGTGTCCCCGGCCTTAGGACTCAGTTTCTGCCGGCCTCAGGTACTGCACTGAGCCCCACGGGACATTTCCATGCCCCACGACTCTTTATCCACATGACGTCCAGACTGGCCACAGCAGAGCTGCTCCATAGAAATGGGGACCCAGGTGACCAACACAAGACTGCCCCCTGCTCAGGCCCACGGAGTCCTTAGAACCCAGCGAGCCCCCGTTTGGATCCTTGGACCCCCCCTCCCCCACTGCAGGCTGGGCCTTTGGGTTCTGAAAATGAACGCGCGTGGCGCTCACAGGCCTCCCGCCGTTCCCGCTCCCTCCGGCCCGCAGGGACAGTTTCCGGATCTTTCAGAAGCTCTCGGAGATTTTCTCAGACGAGAACAACTACTCGCTGAGCAGGGAGCTGCTCATCAAGGTGAGGGTCTCGGAGGAAGTTTCTTCGAAAATTTCCAGGCCTGCCTCGTCTGGACTCTGGGAAGAGAGGGGTCTGTGTGGTCCGTGGGGCAGTGGGGATAGGAGGCCCGGGAATGGGGTGGATTGGAGGTGGCGAGGTTTTTCTGGCAGGATCCGCGGATCTGCTTCCGTGCTGCTCCTTCCCACGGACACTTCTTCCTCGAGGCTGGTCCCTTTCCCGGTCCAGCCCAGCCTGTCCCTCCGAGGTCGGGCCCCTGCTGCTCCTTCTGTCTGCGGTCACTTCCCGGGGACGGGGCACTGCAGGGCCGCCCAGCCCCGGGTCCAGATGATAGGCAGACCTGGGGACATGTGCGGTTAAAGGGTGAGGGAGGAGGACGTCACTGACCCCGTCCTCGACCCTGGCAGGAAGGGACCTCCAAGTTTGCCACCCTGGAGATGAACCCCAAGAGAGCACAGAAGCGACCGAAGGAGACGGTGAGTTGTGCCCGAGGCCACGGAGAGGCAGGGGGCTGGCCCCCCGAGTCCTCCCTTCTGCCGCCGTAGCACCTGGCATGTCCCTTGAGACCCGAAGTCCCATGCCCTGACCAGCTGGTGTCTTGGGGGGGACTAGGTGCCGCCACCAGAGCAAGGACCTGGAAGAGATAGGCTCGGGGAGCACTAGAGCCGGGGGTGGCAGAGACCATCTGACCTTGGGGATTTGCCAAGTTCCAGGCCTGGAAGTTTTCTAGAGGGAGTTTGGGGTCTGTGGACACTAGGTGGGGATTAGAGCCTAAAGGTTCCCAGGCTGCCCCGAGTGGGGGGCCTGGGGTGAGGCCTAGAGACAGGGCTAAGGGGTTCTCAGAGGAGCAGCTTTGGGCCCCGCTGATTACCTCCCACCCCAATGTCACAGGGTGTCATCCAGGGCACCGTCCCCTACCTGGGCACGTTCCTTACCGACCTGGTGATGCTGGACACTGCGATGAAGGACTACCTGTATGTGAGTGAGCCGGGGCGCGGCCAGGGTCCCGAAGCCCGAGACTAGAGCACCCGTCACCGAGCCCTGAGGTCCCGGCATGGCACACCTCGTCCCACGAGGGCCCCCCAGCTCCTGCGTGTCAGGCACCTGCCCATCTGACCAGTGGGCAAACAGCTGGTGCTGGGGCTCAGAGCCGCAGGAGGGTTCTACCAAGCCGCTGGCCACGGGCGCGAGAGAGGCCAGACTCTCCAAGGTCAAGGACACGGTGGCCAAGCAGGGCCTTCTCGCCTAAGGCCTCAGTCTCTCCATGTGTCCTCAGAGGGTGGGGTGAAAAGGCCCCCCCCCACCCCAGAGCCAGGACCCACCTGAGGGCCAGGTGTGTGGCCATGCCCTGCCCCCTGGTGTGTGCTCTCAGTAGTGCAGCCTGAGTGGGGTGACGGGTAGTAACGGGCAAGGGGACACTTTCTGATGGCCTTGGCTCTCTGCCTTTCAGGGGAGACTGATCAACTTCGAGAAGAGAAGGAAGGTGAGCAGCCCGGCCCCTCATTGGCGCGGGTGGAAATCAGACTGTCCCCCCCACCGGGTGGAACACTCTGGGCTTCGTCCCCCTTCCCGTTATGTTTATGGGAGCATCGGATACGGAGAGGGGGAGACCTCTCCCGGTGGCGGGTGGGGGCGGGAGGTCAGAACTAAGGACAGCTTCCCGGGGGTGACTGTTAGAAGCCAGCTCTGCACGTTGCCAGTCGCCTGGCTTTGGGGCCAAGAGGAGGGTTGCAGAGATTGGCCCTGCCCCACCGGGCCCCGCCCAGCGCCCCACCGGGCCCCGCCCACCACCGTCCTGTCCTCTCTGGCCCCAGGAATTCGAAGTGATAGCCCAGATCAAGCTGCTGCAGTCAGCCTGCAACAATTACAGCCTCGAGCCCGAGCAGCACTTTGGGGCCTGGTTCCGGGCCATGGAGCGGCTCAGTGAGACCGAGAGGTGAGGCCGGGCAGGGTTCGGGCCTACCGCGGGCAGGCTGTCCCCGCAGCCAGCTCCAGAGAGCCTGTGGCCTGGGCTCTAGGTCCACATCGGACCCTGTCGCCCGGTGAGATGGCCAGGCAGGCGCTAGGAGAGGCACCCGAGAGTGGCTCCTGGTCGCTCACAGCTGCCGCTCCGTCTTGCAGCTACAACCTGTCGTGTGAGCTGGAGCCCCCGTCCGAGTCGGCCAGCAACACGCTGAAGGCCAAGAAGAACACGGCCATCGTCAAGCGCTGGAGCGAGTGAGTGCCCGGTGGGCCAGGGCGGGGGTCGGGGGGGCTCCCGCGGGGCTCAGGGTGGCTGAGGGTGGGCCAGGGGAGGCGACGGCCGGCACTAGGTCCCTGCTCCGCAGCTGACCAGCCCTGTGACCAGGGGAGTCGTCTCACCTCTCGGGCCTCAGTCTCTTCTGTGAAATGGGGTGATGCTAAATGATCCGTCAGACAGCCGGAGGGAGTGGGGGCTTGTGACCGACCAAGCACTCGGCACCGTGAAGGAGGGCATGGGGTGTCCCAAGGAAGGCCTCCCCCGAGTAACCCAGCCCTGCCTCCAGCCGCCAGGCCCCCAGCACGGAGCTGAGTACCAGCGGCAGCTCCCACTCCAAGTCCTGTGACCAGCTCAGGTGCGGCCCCTACCTCAGCAGCGGGGACATCGCCGACGCACTCAGCGTGCACTCAGCCGGCTCCTCCAGCTCCGACGTGGAGGAGGTCAACATGAGCTTTGTCCCCGAGTCCCCCGATGGCCAGGAAAAGAAGGTGACTGCCCCCTTCTTCCTCACAGCCCTCCGCAGCCCCTCCCTCCCTGGCTCCCTACTCCACACCCACAAAGGGGACCCAGAAGCCCCAGCTCCTAAACAGAACCCCTAGAAGCCCCCAGGTCAGGACCCCGGCCTGGGGCGCCCGGCGGGGCTCAGGGCTTCTGCTGATGGTGGCATCCCCACAGTTCTGGGAGTCGACGTCCCCATGGTCCCCGGAGACCTCTGGCATCAGCTCAGCCTCCAGCAGCACCTCCTCCTCCTCAGCCTCCACCACGCCCGTAGCGGGCACCCGCACCCACAAGCGCTCCGTCTCGGGGGTCAGCAGCCACGGCTCCTCGCTGCCGCTGTACAACCAGCAGGTGGGCGACTCCTGCATCATCCGCGTCAGCCTGGACGTGGACAACGGCAACATGTACAAGAGCATCCTGGTGAGCCCGGTGGGCGGCGGTCCCCTCGGTCCCCTCCGTCCCCCACCGTGCCAGGCAGCACACACGGATGCATCGTGCCATCAGCCTCCTGGGGGATGGGGAAGGATGGAAGCAAAGAAGCCAGTGCTCGGTGGCAGACAGTGCAAAGGGCGGCAGACGTAGCGGTGACGTCACAGCCAGGGCGGGCTTTACTGATAAGGCGCTGGGGGTGGCACCGGGCAGAGTCACGAGGAGGGGGTGTGCCTGGGGGCTGGAGGAGCAGCGAGCAGACCCGAGGCGAGGAGCTGGGGTCAGGGAAGTATCAGGGGCCTGGATCTTGTCGGAGGGAGACAGGAGTCCCTGGCGGTTGGCAGCAGTGACGTGTGACTTTTGTCCTCTCTGAAGGGGACGGGCGGGTGCCGAGATGCAGGTAGGCCAGTTAGGAGGCTGCCGTTGCAACCCGGGCGGAGAGAACAGCGGCTGCACTGGGCTGGTGGCCGTGGAGGTGGCCATCAGTGCACGGAGGCCTCCCCGGGTGGCGGGGCAGGAACAGGCGATGAGACCCCCATGGCCCCAGCATCCGGCCAGGGGCTGTAAGCCCCTGTGTGTACTGCCGAGGCAGCCCCAAGGGCCCTGGCTGCTCTGGGCCTGTCCTGATGGCCTGTCCCCGCCCCCATCAGGTGACCAGCCAAGATAAGGCTCCCGCTGTAATCCGCAAGGCCATGGACAAACATAACCTGGACGAGGACGAGCCAGACCACTATGAGCTGGTGCAGGTCATTTCAGACGAACGAAGTAAGCTGGAGGCCAGCCGAGTGGGCCATGGTGGGAGGGGCCAGCGCCACACGCGGGTTAGCCCCATGTCCCCAGAAGGGTAGGAGTAGGCTTTGTGCGCTCAGTGACCTGTTCTGGGGCTGTCTCAGACACCCCATGTCCCCTCGCTGTCCCCTGGGGCTGCCGGGCCCATCACAGGCCCTTCTCTGGGCTATGAACCTAGTTCAAAGCTGGCATCAGCGAGGAGTGAGGAGAAAGGCTTTTCCCCTGGGGCCAGGCAGCCGGACGGCCAAGCCCGCAGGCCATTCGATGGGGCATGTTCTGGCTAAGATGGGAAATGGATGTTTCAGAAAGAATCATGACAGCCGTGGTCCGAGGCATCCAACGTGTTAAAATCCTCACACGTGACACTGTCTTAGTCCTTTCTGGCTGCAGTGGCAAAATACCACAGTCCAGTAGGGTTATGAACGACAGAAATTTATTTCTTGGGGTTCTGGAGGCTGAGAAGTCCAGGATCTGGCTGCCAGCGTGGTGGCCGAGGGCCCCCAGGCTATGGACTGCTGACTTCTGGTCGTGCCCCCGTGTGGGGGTGGGGGGAAGAGTCGGGGGCTCTGTGTAAGGTGCTGATCCCATTCGAGGGGGCCCCCCTCATGACCTCATCCCCGCCCAAAGGCCCCAGCTCCTAATCCCATCACCTCGAGGACTTAGAACTTCAACGCGAGTTTCGGAGGACAGACGTTCCGCCCATAGCAGAGGCTGCTAGGGACCGGCTCAGTGTTCTAAACGACTCCGGTCGGTACGGACTCGGAGTCAGATACACTCGGAGGCAGAGCTCAGAGACCTGGGCAAGTCCCTTAGATCCTCTGAGCCTGCGTCCCGTCCCACGAGGGAGATCGAGGAGCCAGTGAGTGTTTATCCACGTCCACACGTACGTGTGCTCACGGTCCGTACGCACGCCGCAAAGGGCACCTGTAAACATCGTCGCCGTCACTACGCCCTCTTCCACGAGCCCATCGTCCACGCCCCGCGGCCCCTGGAAGTTGTTTTCTAAGTCCTCTCTGACTTTCTTGCACCGTTTTGGTGAGGTGGGCGGGGCAGCTGGGACCTCTGTCTCCCAGAAAAGGAAGACCGAGGCCCGGGCAGGTGACGGAGCTGGCGGGCACGGATTCCGGCCAGCCGTGGGGCACGGCAGGCTGCGGGCCGGGCGAGGCGGTGGGAGTTAGGAGCCTCAGCGAGGACCTGCAGGACGCCTGGTTCCTCGGGGTCTCAGCCAAGTCTGCCCTCTGTCCTCGAGCAGTGTCATTGGGAGGGGTCCTTGGCGGTCATGGAGTCGGGTCGGGGGGTCTCAGGCCTGCCCTTGTGGGGGCTCTCCAGTGGCGGGGTGTCCTGCGGGCCCCCTGTAAGCACCACCGACCAGCCCCGTTCCCCCCCGCCAGAACTGAAGATCCCCGAGAACGCCAACGTGTTCTACGCCATGAACTCAACTGCCAACTACGACTTTGTCCTGAAGAAACGGCCCTTCACCAAGGGAGCAAAGGTCAGGCACGGAGCCAGCTCGACGCTGCCCCGCATGAAGCAGAAAGGACTCAAGATCGCCAAGGGCATCTTCTGACTGGTCCCTCGTGCTGGCCAGCTGCAGGACCAGCCTTTCCAGGGTCGGGCTGGCCGGGCAGCCACGCCCTGGCAGACTCCAGTGGCCCAGGCCCGGCGGGCACCTTCCGCCCAACCTGTGTGCCCAGGCCACCCCCAGACCGCGGTTGCACCCTGGACCTCTCCTGCTGCCGGGACTGACGCCTGCCGGCCGCAGGCTGACCTGGCCCCCCCCCGTGGACCCCCCGTTGCCTTAGGTGCCTTCTGCTCTCTGGACCCAGAGGACCAGCTGACTTGCCAAGGAGCACTGCCCGTGGGCACGGAGCCCTGCACGCCTCCGGGCATTGCCCTCTGTGCCCGTCCCTCACACGTTCCCAAGTGTGGGTCACCGCCACCCGTGCCCGTGGGTCTGACCACTGCAGTTCTCTCCTCGTGCCCTTCAGGGGGTCCCGGCCCTCCCCCCACCACGCTGGCCTTCCTCAGGCTGCACCAAAGATTTCGTCGTCACGGCCAACTGAGGGCGAGGGCGTCTCACCCGCGCCCCGCTCCCCGGCCCTCCCTCGGGAGAGGAGAGCGCGGCCCCCTCCCTGGGCCACACTCTTCGCCCGGTGAGTGAGGACAGTCTCAGCCAAGTCCCACCGTTGTCAAGTCTCATGACTCTGCAAGGGGCGCTCGCCACCGCACCCTGGACATCGGGGGACCGCACGAGAGGGAGGGCAGTGGGAACGGAGGAATCGGGGGAGGGGGAGCGAATATTTGTATAAAAGGCAAAAAAAAAAAAAAAAAGTTTACCAGTTGGGGAGGGGCAATATTTATTTGTTGTAAATAGTAAATGCTAGACTTAAATATTATATAAAAATCCCGTTTCTACTACGGCCTGGCAGTTGTGTGGTTTCGTACTGTCGTTTCCCCTGCCCGTTTAAAGGCCACGCGGACTCTCACATTCTGCGTTCAAATAAGAAATCTCGCGGGGCCGTGGGTTTATTCTCTGAGGAGGGGCGAGAAGGGCCAGCCGCCGGCTCTGGCTCCTTACGGAGACATGCGGCCCGCCCCTTCACGGAGCAGGCGTCCTCCTGAGTGTCAGCCACCCTGGAACACGAGCCGAGCCAACCCTTCAGAGGTCCCGGCGTTCGGGGTCGGAGGTGCTTTCACAGGGCTTAGCGACGACCTCTGAAATGTGGGTGTCTTTAAACATAACATTTGGGGTGGAAGGTGGTGCAGTGAGATGCTCCAGGGGTCAGCCCGTCAGAGAAACAGTCGCTACGGTGGGGCGAAGACGCGGAATCAGCAGATCTGGGACCTGGGGACATCGTCACACGCAACCGCCAGGGGTCTGCCGCACCTGACAGGTGTGGGAATCTCCGCCAGGATGCTTTGGTGACTCTGCACGGCAAGGAATGCGGACTTTGAAAAATAGTTGGGCAAACTCGCTGCGGAAGTGGAAGGCAGGCTGACGAAAGCCACCTCTGAGGAGGGGGGACCCTGATTTCCGCGGGTGCCCCTTCGTGAACCCCAATGTCTGGTTCTCAAGGAGGGACAAAGCCTACAAAGAGACGAGAAGCTGGGGTCATGCACAGGAAAAGAAAAAAGTTCTATGACTGTGCTAGACGTCAGCGCTGCCGGCCCGGGTCCCGTGCGCAGGGCCTCTCCTCGTGTGCTGCGTGTTGCTGCCGACCTCGCGGAAACGCAGAGGATCATGAGCGTGCGGTGCACACTCGCCTGTCAGCCACACGCTGGGACGTTCAGCCACAGGGAGGGGTGGCATCCTGATCCGCTTCGCAGCAGGGGAGGACCCCGAAAACATTATGATTCCACCTATAAAAAATAGCTAGACTAGACAAATCGAATGAGGCAGAGGGGAGGCTAGATTATCTGGGGTGTGTGTGCGTCGGGGGGAGCTATTGTTTAATGGGTACAGAGTGCCCTTTCGGGGTGATGAAAAAGTCTTGGAACTAGATAGGAGTGAGCAGTGAGTGGAATTCATGTCACTGGATTGAACTCTTAAAAACAGTTCACTGAGCATACTTTATGTTATATATATTTTACCCCAATGTTTTAAAAATAACACTCGCAAGGACTGCTTCCTGAGCCTGGACGGTGCTGCCTTGCTACAGCTTGGGAGGAAGAGGGAACGTTTTCTGCTCATCTTGTGGCTTCTCTTGACCACCGCTGGGGAATTTATAGATTTCAAGTTCAAACTCAAGTTCTCTCAGCACTAAGTGGGGGGCGGGGGCTGGGGGAGGACCGTAAATAGATCAGAACAAGCAGGGTGGGGAGGAAGAGGCTTGGAGAGCGCCGGCTGGTGGCAGGACGTAGCATCCTCGGGTCTCGTTAGCGGCCCATGCTCGACCCTTTACCCGGACCGGGAACCTCATTTCCGTCCTCAGAATTACTTTTCCTGCTGGGTTCATGGCCAGGAGAAAGTTTACAGACTCGGGGGTGTCGGTACTGAACTGTCCCAAAGGGTAGCGGGGCCCGAGCCCCAGTGCCCGGGATGCCTGCATTCTTTGTCCAGTGCATGGGAGTGGTCGAGACACGTCCATCAACGTGGTAAGCGGACTCTCCTGAGCTTGCCTGAGTGTCGGCCACGGTTTCGCCTTGATTGGAGCTGAAGAGTCTGCACCTGGCCCGGCAGGAGCCTCCAAGACCCTGGACAGCCTCCAGCCTGCACCTTGGTCAGTGTTTTCAACTTCAGCCCCTGGATACAGCCTGTAGAGGCAGAGCCGGATGAACTGCGGGTGACTGAATTGTCCTGAAGGCTGCAGGTGTCACCTGGACACAGCAGGGCTCGCCTCTGCCGGGGAGGCCTCCGTGCAGAGTCTGAGCTCACTCACACCTGGGACCAGCAGCCCCCGCCATTCCGACGTGGCCTGGCCATCCAGCGACGTGACGCCCTGAGTGACAGGCGGGCAGGACTGTGCTCCAGTGGAGGACAGAAGCACCATGTCCCCCGGCCCGGCGGAGGCACTGGGGTCTGCGGGCTCCGGGGAGCACCCACCAGGTAGGAACATGCAGAGGAGGCGCGTGTGTGTTGATGGGATACCCTGGTGCCTCCTTGGGCCTCCGCTGGCTGAGAACAGGGACAGTCACCAGGAGAAGCCCACACTCAGGGCGGGTCCATCCCCCTCGGTCTCACACCTGAGAGCCCTTGACCAAGTCTGGGAGCCCAGGACAGCCAAGGTGGCCACAGGCCAGCCCGAGTGCCCCCTGTCCCTCCAGGGGTCGGTCTGAGGGCACAGGACTCGGCTCCTCTCTCCCATCGGTAGGCTGGAGAGGGAGAGGGAGCAGCCGCTGGTCCCCTGGTGCTGCCTCACCACATACACACCTACCTGGCTGCGCTGCTCAGGACTCCAGAACCTTCTCTACTCTGAGCCGTCAGCCTCGCCCCACAGTGACGAAAGAACGGGGGAGGAGAGAAAACACCCCCGATGTGTGAGCTCTGGAGTCTCAGACCTGGATCTGAATACTTGCCCTGATGGCCTAGGCATGTGACCCCTCCCGGCCTTCCCTCTATAAGTGTCTGAAACAGGGGTTCACGGTGCCCGCCTCACACGGCCCCAGTGGGGTCATGCTGGTTAGGCCCTCGGAGAGGTTGGCACCCCGTTCCAGCCTGCACGGAGTGAGCACAGCCCAGCTCTGACGTCTGCCTCCCGCCCCCGACTCTGCCAGAGTCACCGGGCACGGCCCACGGTCTCCTGCTGGCAGGGGACCCAGTGTCCGGCCGTCTTGCCCGTTTGCTTCTGACGTTCTCGTGTGACGCTTTATTCTCTGACTCAGACCCAGCTGGAGGCAGAATCCATTTCTCTTCCCCGGCTGGTTTCCTCGGCCCCGGTTAGAGCAGAGGCCGTTCCCCACGCTCCAGCGGACTTGGCTGTGGCTGGACTCCATGGTCCAGAGGAGGCCACGGCCTGCAGAGCCTGGCTCCGCTGAGCCGCAGCCGCCATCAACCCCGCCCACTGTTTGGGCCGAGCTGAGCCCCTCTGAGCCAGGAGCCTGGCATGGAGAGACCCAGGCCTGGGTCCCAGCCCTGGCTCTGACGCTTCTCCAAGCCTCCTCTGAAACGTCCACTTCCTGGAGCTGGAGCCTGACAGATCGGAAGTGCACTGGGCCTGGGGCCGGCACCCTAACCGTCACTGAGGCCTGCCTTCCTCCAGGCGGGTGGTGGGAGCAAAGAAGGACACCAGGCTGGGAGACGAGGCTTTATTCGGGGAGAGCTCAGGACGGGGTGGGCCCCCTGGCATCCCAGCAGGGGCTTCTGGGGGCCGAGGACATTAGAAGCCAATGACTACAGGCATCTGAGCCCCCTCAGAGTCACCTGTGGTGGGCACAGGTGCAGCGTCAGAGTCACGGGTGGGGGGCGCTGGGGAGGCCTCGGAGTCATCTGGGGAGGGCGCGGGGGTGACTTCAGAGTCGTCTGTGGGTGTCGCGGGGGTGACATCGGAGTCGTTTGTGGGGGGCGTGGGGGTGGCCCCCTCTCCGTTCACCGTGGGCAGTGCCTGGTAGGTCAGTGTCCAGTAGCGCAGGTAGCTGGTCCTGAGGTGCTGTTTCACGGAAATGTCGTTCATCTTCTTGATCTCCAGGTAGTTGCCGCTTTCCAGGGTGTAGGGTTCCCAGCGCGTGGGCACGGACAAGTGGCCCATGTTAGGGTCCCTGCAGAGGGAGCAAAAAGGCTGGCTGGGGGCTGGGAGCACACGGGAGGCTGGAGACCTGTGCCCCGGCCCGGCTCGGCCCCGGCTTGCCCGGGCCGTCCTCTGCCTCTGTGCTGACCCGACCCATGAGGGCGCCTCTCCAGCTTCGGGGTACAGGCTGGGGCCCAGCCAGCAGCTCTCACCCTCACACGCAGGAGGGGGTCCTGAGGCTCAGGGAGGGTAAATGTAAGTGAGGGGACAGGAGCTGGAACCCAGGCGTGCACAGCCAAGGTGACAGGGGGCCCCAGGCTCAGCCTCACCCCCGCCTTACCCGTTTCTGGCAAAGTTGGTCCAGTAGGCGATCACGGTCTTGGAGACAGCCCTGTCCTGGGCCCCGTAGCCCAGCGGGGTGGCAAAGGGCTTCCCAAAGACATACGGGATGTCGTTGCCGTGGTCGGCCCCCACCCAGCTGGGGTGCAGAAGCATCGGAGCGGGATACGAGAACAGGTAGCTGTAGGTCTTGGCGCTCCTGAGGAGGGGAGGGCAGACCGCCCAGGTTGGCAGGGTGCTCACCTGGGGCCACCCAGCCCGGAGATGGACCCCGGAGGGAGACCATGGGGGAGGGGCAGGGGCTGGGAATTCCCTCCGACTCAGGAAGAACCTGGGACCCTGACACCCAGGGAGGGTGAAGCTGTGGGCCAAATTCACGCATGTCACGGGTTCTATGATTGCAACTGTGTTTGTACTTCACAAAACACACTGAGGCGCCGTCTTCCTGTAATTCGGCTATCAAGAAAGAATTTTTTTCTCTGCAAGTGAATTCGTGTTCTTCATCTGATAGGACGAGGTACGTGCACTCAGATGTTTCCCTTTTTGCCTTGGCTGACAGGAAGCTCGGAGCTAAATTTACTGTTCAGTTGCAGCATAGTTTTCATCCTAGGTTCCTAGGTAGAATTCTGTCTTCCTACTTTTGTTGCCCATTATTATGTGGAAGTTTTTTTAATGTGGCCACAAGCTTAAGTTGATTTGAAAGTTGGCAAAGTCAAAACCCACAAAAGAGTCCATCGTTCCAAGTTCTCTGCTTCTGCCCAGCATGAGGGATGGAAGGTGGACGCAAGAGCCTTGCGGTAGGCAGGGCTGCGGGGTAAGGGAGGGTCCGTAAAGCCCCCCAAGGCTGGGAGGAAGGAGGGACCTCCTCAGGTCTTGTCAGGCCCGGCAAAGTGGCTGGTGTAGGCACAGATGGGGACCCAGGCACAGGTGGGGACCCAGGCACAGGTGGGGACCTAGGCATGGCATTCCCAGGTCCCCCGGAAGCCTGTGAGCCTCCCGCCCTCGAGGCCTTGGCGGGCAGGTGCGTGACCCTGGGGGAGCCTCACCCCGCCCAGGTCCTCACTTGGCATTGGCTCTGTGCTGGGCCAGGGCGATCTCCGTGGACATCAGGAAGAGGATGTCGGTCTCTAAGTCCACCACGGTCTTCTTCCTGACCTCCTGAGACGAGTCGTTGGCCCACGGGGCCGTGTAGAAGTCGAAGGTGGCGTTGGCGCCCCTGAGTCCCTTGGCGATGGTGAGTCCACTGACCAGCTTGAAGAAGTCCTCCCTGCAGGGACCGAGCCGGCCGTGGACCCTCCACCCAGTGCTGGGGGCCGCGGACGGCCCCCGACACGGCACTGACCTCCTCCCCCAGCTGCCCTCGGCCTCCGCCCTGGGGCCCGCTCTCCCCTTACTCCGTGACAGGCTGCTTCTTCTTGTTGATGGCCGGCACGTCAATGCTGGCAAAGAGGTGGCTGTCTATGTTGTTGGTGCCAGCGATGTAGTCGATGTCGGCCGCGTTGGCGTACAGGTTGACGGGGTCGTCGGGGATGAAGTCTCCATCAATGACGGGGGTCAAGCCCAAATACTGGACTACGGGGTCTGCAAGCCGAGCGGCAGGTCCTCGCACCTTCCCGTGCCCGCCCGCTTGTCCCCGAGGCCTCGGTGAGGAGCCCCTGCCCCCTTTGATCAGGACCGGGGTCCTCAGCCTGTCACTCCCGATCTTGGGGAAGGATAGTCCTGTGGCCTGGGGGCCATCCTGCTCCTGTAGGGTGTTTAGCAGCATCCCTGGCCCCGATCCACTGGATGACAGGAGGACTTTCTCCCCAGTGTGAAAACCCAAGCTGTCTCCAGACTCTGCCACGTGATCCCTGGGGGCAGAGTCTCCCAGGCTGAGAACCCCTGGGCTAGACGCCAAGCCTGTCCTCTCGCAGCTGGGGGCATCCCTTCTGCTCCCTCCCTTCTCACTGGGCCAAGATCAGGAACGGCGAGACCTAGAAGCAGTTAAGGGGCGATGGAGAGGGAGGACTTTGTTCCATCCGGGTTCTGGTCTGCTAGCCAGGAACCGCGTGGGGCCCACATTGCCCTCCGGACTCTGGAGCTGACCCCGATAGCTGGCTCGGAGCCGGACGCACGGGCCTTGGTCGGGCCCCGCCCGCTGTCCCGCCAGCTCAGGACATGGCTGGTTTGCATTCGGGGCCATATCGTTGGCTTCGGTTCCCTTCCGCCTCGCCCTTGGGGCTTGATTCACAATGGGTGGAATCTAAATGAAGGCCCCCTTTGTCCTTTGCCTTAGAAGAACGAGCAAGAGAGAACCCCAATCTCCCGGGCCTATGACGGGGACGCTCCTAGGCTTCGCCGATGGGGCCCCCCGAGGCTTCATGGGGTGCAGAGGAGCAGAGCTGGTAGGGCCAAATGCCACAGCAGGTGCTCAGTGAGTTGAAGGAATGAGCGGAGGAAAGCATGGCCATCGAGCACAAAGACCCTCGGTCTGGGGTCTCTAACACCGTGCGCCTCGTCGGAGGGTGGGCCCAGAGGTTCATGAGCTTCTCAACGGAGTCCTGACCCACGGAGGAGAAGAGGGAAGAATGGCCCCTCCTTTTCTCACAGGCAAGGCCCCGGAGGCCTGGCGGCGTGGAGCCGCCTAGGGACCCCAGTGAGCTGGTGAAGGGGCCAGACCTCAGGCCTGGCACTTCCTCTCCTCCAGGAGCGTGGCCCTCCCCGCGCGTGGTGCCCCCGTGCGCCCCGCCCGGCAGCCCCCACTCACACTCCAAGCTCGCCAGGGGTATCTTATAGGCCAGCGTCAGGGCCCGCGGGTCGGTGATCTTCAGACACCTGGCCATCCTGGCAGTATCGTCCACGGGGCAGCCCACCTTCTGGGCGATCTGGGGGTTGTGGGGAGACAGGCAGGTGAGGCCGGTGCTGGGGCAGAGGACAACAGGGTACAGGACAGAGAGCGGAAAGGAGGACGCCCCTCCCCCGACATCGACGCCGAGCCCCTCCCCCACCCACTGCAGCTCCTTCCTACCCTTTTGGCCCAGAAGAGAGGGTTCTTCTGGATGGCCCAGGGGCTCAGCCCCACGCCGCTCTGGCTGATGGCTCGCCGGATGAGGCCCTTGTTGTAGGGAGAGAGGGTCTGCGGGACACACAGAGGTCCTGTCACCAAGGCTCGCCTTACCTGCCCGAGGACTGGGCCCAGGACAGCCAGGATGCCAGCTGCGGCCCTGATGCTCTCGGCCCCCGTCGGCTCCCTCCCACAGCCTTGGGGATAGGCCCTCCCCTCCTGGGGTCCCCAGACCTGCAGAGAGACGCTGGCACCTCCAGCTGATTCCCCAAAGATGGTGATGTTGTCGGGGTCCCCCCCGAAGGCCGCAATGTTCCGCTTCACCCACGCGATGGCCATGTGCTGGTCTCGAAGGCCGTAGTTACCTGGGGCGGGGAGGGGGGCTCTGTCAGGGGCCGCTGCCGGGGCTGGGGGTGCACACGAGGCACACGGTCCACGTGCTGGGAGGGAGGCCCGGTCGAGCCCCAGGGTGGCGCACGGTGGGCCCTTAGGAAGCTGGAGGGCGTGGGGGGTCGGGCAGGGTGGGCGTACAGAGCAGGGGAGCCAGGCTGCTCGTCTCTCCCTCCCTGCTACAGTCCCCACCGTCTGTCTGTCCTGTAGCGCGCGTTCCCCCAGACGCCACCTCGATGTCTCGTCTTCCGTCTCTTTCACGCGGCTTGCTGTCCCTGCTCCCCGGTCCCTCTCAGGGTCTCCGTCTGTCAGTCTGTCTGTCTGTCTGTCTGTCTGTCTCTCTGTCTCTCTCTCTCTCTTTCTCTCTCTTTCAATTTCATTCTTTTGTAAGTGTCTTTCCCTGCGACTGCCAAGGGCTTCTTGCATCTCACACACCGTCTCGTTCTCCCTGGCCCTGCAAACAGGATTCTGGGCCTTTCTGGGGTGCTGTCAGGAGGGGAGCTGAGGGGTGCCCCCACTGGACTCCCCCACCCCCACACCCGAGGTGCCCGGCAGACCTGGCAGGTTGGGGTCCCCGGTGCTGAGGAAGCCCAGGGTTCCGACACGGTAGTCGAAGGTGACCACGATGACGTTGCCCCGTGTGGCTAACTCCTCCCCATCGTACAGGTAGTTGCTGAGAAAGTTGGCCCCATGGCCGGACCCCATGAGGAAGGCACCTCCATAGATCCAGATCATGACCGGCAGGTCCCGGGACACTGAGGCAGGGGGAGCAAGCTGATGACCCCGAGTGCCCCCTTCCCACTCCCCTCCCTGCTTGGTGCTGATTTCGGGGAAGTTTAGCTCTGGGGCCCCAGAGACGACCGAGGGGCAAAGCTGGGCCTTTGGCCAGGCGCGGGGAGCTGGGGGGCACGGGAGGACACACTGACCTTCCTTCTTGCCCTGGGGGACCCAGATGTTGAGGTAGAGGCAGTCTTCTGCCCCGAGGGTGTTGTCCTGGGTGATGGTGGTCTGCAGGCATCGCTTCTTGAAGCCCGTGGCCTTCAGGATCCCTGCAGGTGGCCACAGGGCCTGAGTGAGGACAGCAGTCCGCGAATGCCAGCCCAGCCGCAGGCGCTGCCCAGCGTCCGCCGCTCCCACCTTGCCAGCCGGGGTGTCTCTGGGGGTTCTCCAGGGTCTTGGGGGGGGCAGCGAACGGGATGCCCTTGAAGATGTCCACATAGTCGCCAAAGAGGCCGAGCTTCTTGTTGACGCCTTCCACGAAGCCCCCTTCTGTGTACACCGAGCCCAGCTGCGGGGAGAGGCAGGCCAGCATGGCATTCGGGCTGGGGGTCCCGCTGGGAGTCGGGCTGGCCCGAGCAGGCCCCGGGGGGCCCAGGAGCTCCTCAGAGACGGCTTCGAGGAGGAACCAGTCTGCCCTGAGACCAGGACCCCTGCCACTCGCCTGTGTTGGTGACGGATTGGCTTGCCGCCACCCCACCACTCCCGCCGGGGGCATCCCCGAATCTCAGAGGAAGCTGCTTCGGCCAGCGTGATTTTGCTCGGGGAAGCCTTTCGACACGGCCGGGAGAGACAGGGAGGAGGTTTGGATTCTGGCTATGGCCGCCTAGCTGTGACCACGAGCCTCATTTTCCCCATCTGTCAGATGGGTGACAGTAGTGTCTTTCTCTTGGCCTGGTAGCTCGTCCAGCAGGCGTAGATGCTTCGTATGCACTGAATGCTTCATGCTCAGCCGTGAGCTCCCTCGGCTGCGGGCGGGAGGGCCTGCTTTTTCCTTCCTCCCCCCAGCTTCCCGCACGGCAGCCTCCCGCAGGGTGCCTAGCTGGCCTGGAGGCAGTGGCCAGGTTTCAGTTCCTCACAGGCCCCGTGCTCCCTGCTGGGAAGGGCCCCTGCCCCCAGGCCATCAGAACCTCCGCAGTGTGTCCAGCCCTCGCACTGGCTGCTGGAGCAGGGCTGAGAACACCAGAAAAGGGTGTCCCCAGAGAAGAAGGGTGACCTCCTCTCGGTAGCAGAAGGGGCCCAGGACCAGTACCTGAACCTCCAGAGCCCAGGGGCGGCAGGGGTGCTGAGGCCGGGGCCTGAGAGCAAGATGAGGGGTGGAGGAGCAGCGGGCCGGAGAGCAGCATGGTGGGGGGCTGGGATCCCCCGTTAAAGCCTACTTGTAGCTGTTGAGGTTTCTGTCCTGGAAGCCCTCCTCTGCCTTGGCCCTCGCGCCCACGGGGTGTGGGGGGCAATTAGGGAGGGCAGAGCTTAGAGATGCCCCAGAGGCCTGACTCTCTCCCTGGAGGGGACCTGGCCACTAGCAGGCAGACGAGTGGGAGCCCTCTCGGGAGAAGGGGGTTATGCTGGGAGCCAGGCCCCGGGCTGCACTGGGCCGGGTTTCAGGTTCTCGTTCAGACGCTAGGGGCTGTGTGGTGTCGGGCAAATCGCTCGCCTGCTCGGGGCCCTCGTCTCCCCGGGGCCCTCGTCTCCCCTTCTGCAAGAAGGGCACATCGACATCCCTGGAGAGAGGAAGCGGCCGAAGGGACGTTGCGAGTAACATCCAGACTCAGCAAATAACAATGCAAGATGCCCAGTGACACTCGAATCTCAGATAAACAATGAATTTTTTGTTGTTAGCATAAGCATATCCTAAATAGCGCGTGGACCATATCCGTACCCCAAATGACTCGTGGTTTATGAAATTCACATGTCACTGGGCGTCCTGTATTTTATCTGCTCCCGAGTCACCGTGTGGATGAGAATGCACAAGCACGGAGTCGGTGCCCGGGAACGCTGCCGTGGCCGGCACTGGTTCTCTTTCTCAGGCTGGCTGTTTCTGCCGGTGACTCGTCTGTCTGTCTGCCCTCCTCCTGGCCTGTCCCCACAGTGTCCAGAGCTGGTCGAGCAGGAGAGGGGGTCCCCTGCCTCCTGTGCTGGGCAATCACTTACCTTTGCCCCGTTCACTACTGCCAAGCAGCAGGTGAGGCCCAAGACGACCAGCCGCAGGTGTCCCATGGTGCGTGCCTGCCTCTGGGTGGTTCTGCCTCCGGCCCACGGGTATTTATGGGGCTGGAGCCAGCTGGGATCCCAAGTTGACAGCTGCCTACAGAGGATCCCTTTCCCCTCCTCCTACCTCTGACCCTTCCCCAAGGCTGGCCACACTCCAGACAGTATACCCGGAGCCAGGAGACAGCTGCCATTTCCAGCCGGGCTCAGATTGGGCCAAGGTCGTGCAGGCAGGCATGCATGGGCACACACACACGGCGGCAGCAACGGTCCAGCTTTCCCACGGCCGGCTGCTCCCAGGTGCCTCAGTGCCCACAGTGCACCTGTGCAGATTACTGCCTGCTTGGGAGTAAGCAGGTGGCACAGGGCCGGGGCTGCAAGCGCGGCCGGGCGCACGGTGCCCTGTGTTCTGGCTCACGCACAAGGCCTTGGTTTCACCCTCAGAGAAGAGGGCATGCTTTGTCTCCATGCCCTGCTTGCCCGCCGCACCTCCAGGTCAACAGGAGGAGTTTATCGGGGACTGGACATATGACCTCCATGACAGAAATGACTTAGTGCTACAGGGTGGCCAGTGTGGCTGCCCTTTGTTACTGGGGGCCCACTGGTGTGTGGTCTGAGCTGGGTGTAGGGACCCAGAGCAACACAAGGCGATCCTTCCGTCGGGGTGTGGGGGAGACCGCACCTTCAGCATGATGAGTCTTGGGGTGGGAAGGCAAGAGGCGCAGCTGGGCCCCGGGGCCCGGGAGAGGGGCTCTAGCCCAGCCCGGTGGGCTTTCCCGGGAAAAGGAAGGGCCTGAATCGCACCCAGCGAAAACCCTGCGGCACACGCAGGCAGAGAAGAGACAGAGACAGACAGACGCAGAGAGAGGGACGGAGACACAGAAAGATGGAGCCCAGAGCTACGGGACCATAGCGACGGGGAATGTCTACTCTCAGTGAATGTCTTCTACTCTAGTCACCAGAGAAGGTCGTTAAAAAGTGCAAGACCGCCAGAGACAGGGCCTAAGGTCCTCGCCTCTGAAGAGTTTGGCCCCACAGCCATCTCCAGTGACGGCCCTACATTCAGGGGCCAGGGGACAGCCAGAGCCCTCCTAGGCCAACGGCCCCTTGGATGGGGCCCCTTTGCCGCCCCGAAGCGGGTGCTTCTCATGCAGGCCACAGCTCTGATCTTGTCATGCCTGTGGCTGTCACCAAAGCCCACATGGATCTATCGATACTGGTCAGTTCGTCTGGCTGTCTGCCCGCCTGTCTGCCTGCCTGATCCAGGCCCACATCTTTTGTAATGTAGGTGCAAAGGGGTGGGCGGCCAATAAATGGGAGGGAGGATTTAGGACACGGGGAAGGAGCTGGGCTGCCCAGTGTGGCATCAGCTGGGGGTGTGCGGACCAGGGGAGCAAAGGCTTTGAGGGGTGCCGCGATGGACAGAGAAGTGCATTTGTCACGACGTTCTTTTGCCCAGTTATTCCAATTCTGAGAACACATTCGAAAGGAAGTAATTCTGACTATGGAGGAGGGGGACCCCTGTGGGCTCAGGAGTGTTCGGCGCAGGGTTATCTATAGTGATCAAAGAGGGAAGACAGGTGGCGGGGGGTGGGGGGGGCTTCGTTTTACTTGTTTATTTAACAGTAAGGGGCCCCACACAGTCCTGCACGGAGCAGGCGATCAATAAGCACTGAGTGAGCATTCCCAGAAATATCCAGAAGACTAATATTGTCCGACCAATAAGACATATCGCCAGCTGGCTTCTTGGCTAACTTGTGGAATGTGTTCCTCAGTTAGTCCTGCTTTAGACAACTGACTTTAGGGAGTCATTTCATCCAGAAATGATTTGGCCAGTGTCTGAGGTCTGACACACTGTCTCCTTGACCACAGCCTGCTCGGCCTCCTTGGAAGTCTTCTTCAGCCAGGTACCTCTACGTCATCCATTCTGAGCAGGAATCTTGCTGAGTGGGTTTAGCCAGAAGCCCTCAGCCTCTGCATGTGATCACCCTCCATCTGATCAGGCTCCTGAACCACCACCACCCCCGACCCACCCGCAGGTGATGTCTGATCCCGCCCGCCTGTCTTCAGCAAAAATCCTGCTGGGTCAGTCTAGCCAGAATGTCCCTTATCCCTAAGTTCCTAGTGGTGATTTCCATCCATGGACACACACACGCACACGCACACGCACATGCACACACACACGCACACACACATGCACACGCTCCTTGGCTATAAATTCCCACATGGCCACACTGTGCGAACTCAGCTCGGTTCTGTACTGAAGTCTTTTCTCCATTGCAATTGTCCTGAATAAAATCTGCGTCTACCACTTTAGTGTCCTGCTCTGGTTATCGGGGTGGTTACGACGCTGTGACTCAGCTGGGATCAGATTCATCACTGGACCCCTGGGCCTCTCACCCGTGGCCCCGAGTACACACCTCCAAAGAGTCTGTCTACACTCCTGGTTGATCAGGGAACTACCAGTGGGTCCGACTCCCGAGCCATTGCTCTGGGTGACAGCCCACCGAGGCACAGCAAGCACAGATTCAATTCTTACAGTTCAGAGTATACTCCAGAAGCTAGTGTTGGTCCCAGAGAAATGGTCTGGGGTGGAGTCTTGGGCTTCCCTTTGAAGAGGCTGCCCTCGCCCTGAGTTAGTCCCCACTTCCTCTGCTCATTAGTATGAAGAGCGGGCAGCCGTGGGCACCGTTGGTGAAGACATGAGAGCTTCCCGCTAACTGAAAATCCCTTCTCCAGCCCCTGCTGACTGCGGGCTCCACCGACTCGGTCTGCTCCCTTTTTACTGGCTGAGGATAATTTGGAACCTCGTTGGCCTCTTCGGGGAACATCAGCAGGCTCTCTCCTCCAACACGCTCCTCCCGCTCCCGCTCCTGGCCCACAGCTTCTGCTCAGCCTTCCTCCTCCGCCTTCTCCCTCCCCCCAGCTCCTTCGAATCCTTTGCCCCGTCCGTCCCCATCAAACGCTGACCTGCCCCTTCCCTCTGTCCCTTCCTCTCCCTTCCAACTCCGGCCCTCGGTCACTAACACTTGAGGCCCCCCTGCTCCCCCATCAAGGGTTCTTATGGGACTCAGACCCTTGAAAGAAACTGCCTGAGGCCGAAAGGGAAAAGGGCCATTGCACTCGCTCTGGCAGCTTTGGGGACACCCCGGCAGCTGCCCGGTGTCTCCCACCTGGTGCTCGCCCACCTGGCGTTCCGTCCACAGCCTCCAGCAGAGTATGTACCGGGGCAGAAGGAAGCCTTAAGTCTCCTCCACAAATATTGGTGAACAGGTGACCTTAATGTGTCCCAATGGGAGCAGGGACACAGTTTGAATAAAAACGTAAAGGGGAGATAAACCAGTGAGTCTGTTTCAGTTTTACCGACTCATGACTGAAGTTTTAGAATGAAAGCTACGAGGCACGTGTGTGTGTTACGTATGCAAGGTTTTTCCGCCTCCGATGGTGTTACCATATTAATTTATAAAATCCCTGACAGGAACTCTATTCCGATCGGCTTAGAGAGAAATGAGCACTTACACACAGAGCACTCTTTAAGCTCTTGGAAGTATAGAAACTAACTGAAATGCTTTTCAAGTTCACATGAGTTGGGGAAATCTTTGATAAATTCCATAGCGTTGGTTTAATAAAAACAACTGTCTTCTGAGTTATTAACATATAATATGAGCATACATTCTTCTTCTACTTTTTACTAGTCAAATAAGGTTAAAAGTAGCGAACAGGGAAATAATTTGAGAGGATGGGGGTTTTGAGTCCGGGTCCGTGGACCTGTTAGGATGTTCAAGGACAGACCTTGGGGCCTGAGATGCCCCTGAAATTGGATGTGTGTTTCTGGGCAAGCATCCTTTTCTGTGGAAAGATTCTGTGGCTACCGTTGGGTGCTTGCAGGTTCTGTGGCTTCCCAAAAGGTCTAGGCTGGAAGCATCAAAGTTCTAAATCGATAGAATGGACAAAGCCGAAGACTCCCCCAGCTGATTTAATGGCACAGACAGCTTAGGCAAATACTTAAAAAAAAAAAAAATTCCCCAGGTTGGAGCACAATCCGTGAGGGCAAACACACCTGTGCTGACATCACGGGAGGCAGACACTGCAGATCAGACAGACACAGGTGCTTCCCCTCACAGCTGTGCGGTCCGGACACGTGTCGCGGCCTCTCTGAACCCCGGTGGCGCCTCTGCTCGGGGAGACTATGTGTGAGGAGCTCATCGCGCGGTAGATGTCGGGGTCTATGGCTCACATCTCTCTGCTTACCAGGTGTCCTAGAAGCGACGCTGAACATTTTTCCAGGCGGAGAAACGTTCGTTTAAAAATGGGAGGGAGCCTACAGTGGGTGGCACAAACCTGAGAAAGGGGACTGCAGGCGGCTTGGAGGCGCGACTACGCACCCACAGCAAGACGTCCCCTAGGGAGAAGGCGCAGAGCCATGCGCAGGAGTCTTGCTGTCTCGTCGTTTATCACTTTATGTCATTTAATCCCTTGTCATTTAAATTAGTAATTTTTAGCATTTACTACATGATCGATTATATTCTCTATCTTGAAAATATTATATGTATGTTATGGGAGAAAGAATATGTAATTATGCTGGAATTTTGATGATCAAGATTTTCAGCACAGGTGAAAAAAGCAAGTATAAGATCAGAGAAGTAAAACCCTCTCGTCTCACATTTTAATTGAGAAATATCTGTATGAACTCGCCATTTATTTTTTCTTCTTTGTAAAGAGAAAATACCAAACATGTTTCCCAGCTGTGTGTATTCAAAAGTGCGAGAAGAAAACTCAGGAGCAACAAGTTCCGCCCCCTCCTCCGGGCGCCCAGAGCGGGGTCTCTGTGTCCACGCCAAGGAACGGGGCACCCAGGGGCGACGGCTGCCCGGGTCTGTGGCAGGGAACCCAAAGGAGGGTCCTGGGTCATCATGGTGGCCGGGAAGTGAGAGGGCACAGAAGACCAGAGGACACAGTAGCCAACCTGGGGCCACCTTCAGGCCCAAGACAGGACCAGCTGGGCATCAAAAAGCATGGCTGCGGTTGCTTGAAACGAATTTAAGAGTTCGCTAAGAAGCTAAAAAAAGAACATAAAAGCTCCCTCGTCACCACCGGCCATTGCTGGGGTGCCGCCTCGTCATTCTGAAAACTAACGAAGGGGGAAACAGGCCTTTTCCTGCTTTTCTAGTCCCAACGGTATTTCAGGGTACCCATATACACTGGGGTATTTGAGAAAGTCTTTTCTAGAATTTCAGCTAACAGATGCAGCAAGAACGGCCGAATTCACACATCAGTGGTTTGCGACCCCTAAGGAAGTACTGGACCCAGACGATCGTCGATGGCTGTCAAAAACCACGAGATAAAAGCCTGAGGGATGAGGAGGACAAAACCCGAACCTGCTGGTCGACGCCCCCGTCACTAGAGGCACTGAGCAGACATCGGCGCTGACAGGGCGGGCGCAGCTGCCTAGCTGGTCTTGAAACTGAACTGCGCTTGTCGGGTGTGACCACCCGACAGTCCTGGTGTGGTAGAGATGCAGCCTGAGGAGCGGGGCTTCCTGAAACAATCCCAGCAAAACACCAGGACAAACCGAAACCGAAACACAGGGGCGCAGAAGATGCAACGAGTTTGGCGAGACACGTAACTGCCGACGCCACGTGGTGCGTGATGATGGTGCTCGCCGCTTCTGTGCGTGTTCACTGTCTTCCACGACAGCTTTCCAGAACACGGGGGCGTAAAGACTTAGGTTTCTATGTGTGCGGTCATGACAGACTTTCGCAAATGTGGTGGGACTTGGGGAGCCCCTCCCGTTTGGCAGATAGGCTGCCTCTGGGTGAGGTTGGGCGTCATGGTAGAGGATGGGGAGGTGAGGGTGCCTTCCTCAGGTCTGGGCAGGGGCTAAGGCGGCTTCTGGGAGCTGGAGACCAGAACCTAGACCCTCTCCCTCTGAGGTTCGGAATTTGCAGCGTAGCTTAGAAGTGGCACAGCCCCAAGATTTGCCGGCAGAGACCAGTGGCCTCCGAGGGACATTACGGAGGTAAGGGGAGACGGAAGCTGTGGGCCTAGGCCCGGCTTGCCTCTGGGGAAGGGCTGCTTCTGAGGGTGTCGGCAGTACCTTGTCCCCAGCAGCAAGGAGCGGGACCACCGGAGGCAGCCAGCCTGGCCAGCTTCTCCGTGAGCCCCTGGGGGTCCTGACGTGTATCGGGACGGGGCTTACCTGAGGCATTTGACTTTGGAATCAGTGGGACTCAGGGACTTATGGTTACAGAGCGGCCTGGTCTGCTGGCTCAGGCCACTCTGCACGAGCGTGGGAGGACTCCCCGGGGAGGGCAGGCTGGGCTGCACCCAGGGACCCTGTGCTGCCACTGGCTCCCCTCCGGGCAGCCGTGGGAC